TTAGACGACGCCGGCCCGTAGATTAAATGTTTGCCCTGTACTTGCTAAACGAAGTAAGTGCAGGCCTCAAAAGACTTAAGTTTGAAGGTTGGTAAGCAGGCTCGATGTAAGCAGTAAATACAAGGAGATGTTGATCGTTGTTACGAGTGACCATCACTGACTTACTATGCCTAATCGACTTGGTCCGATTCTCCTTGCGATTTTAAGTATCGACGTCGACCATCTCAGCTACGGTTCACGCTTTTGCAGCCCGAGCGGCGTCGTGACTGAAAATTGCGACCGAAATCTCATCATGCGAATCAGGTTTTAGCGTACATACTGCGGCGTCCACACGGAATGAATCGCCACATGTCACATTATTCACGCGAAGTTTCGCGGTGTAACGAGCTTCGGTAATTTCGCTGACGCCGCTCAAGTTGTCAGACATCGGCCAGGAAGACGTAGAATCAACAATTCGAACGCGAAAAAAAGCAGGGGGACTCACACTGACGCTGACAACATCGCATTTCAATGGTTTGTTTATGTGCGACGGCGAGCTTCTTGCCCACACCCCCATCGCGCATGCGCGGCGCCGGTGGCGTCTGCTAGGGGCGCTCCGGTTTGTTTGTAAACACAAATAGGATTGGAGGATAGACTAGAGAAGAGTGGGCTTGGATTCGACCTTTCGTACAGCAAGCAAGGCCAAAAATTTCAGCAATCCTTACCGGGATTGATGTATGCGGATGATATTGTACTAATGGCTAACAACAGGACAGAGTTGCAGGAATTAATGAGCATCTGTGCTAAGGGAAAAGAGGAATTAGGTTTAGAGTTCAGTAGTGAAAAATCAGCAGTCATGATTTTTAACAAAGATGAAGTTGGGCTGAAAATACAGAATATTACAGTTGAGAGGGCTAGTAAATACAAGTATCTAGGAGTATGAATATGTGACGGTGCAGAATATCTCAGTGAGCATGAAAAGTATATAATAGGTAAACAGAAATGCAGCTGTAATGAAAAATAGAGCACTTTGGAATTACAACAGGTATGAGGTGGTGAGAGAGATTTGGAAAGGGGTCATGGTCCCTGGCTTGACTTTTGAAAACGCAGTGCTTTGCACGAAATCCGATGTGCATGCAAGACTAGAAATAAAACAGCGCGGAGTAGGTAGGCTGGCTTTGGGGGCACTATGCAAAACGCCAAACCAGGGAGTACAAGGAGACATGGGATGGGCGTCTTTTGAGAGCAGGGAAGCGGTGAGCAAGATAGAATTTGAGGATCGGTTGAGGCAAATGGACGGGGATCAATGGGCACGAAAGGTTTTCAGCTATTTATACATGAGGAGCATAGACACAAAGTGGAGACAGCACACTAGGAAATTAAGAGGAAAGTTTTTAGGCTATAGTGGAGATACGGAAGAGCAGGTCTCGGTTAAGAAAGTTAACACCACAGAAAGAGATCGGTGGCTAGACGGAATGCAGACAAATACGGCTCTGGAAAGCTATAGATTAAACAAAACAGTTATTGCCAAAGAAAGCATTTATGACAATGCTAGGGAAAGATAATCCTTGTTTGAGGCGAGGACGGGTGTTCTGCGAACCAGAACATACAGAGCGAGGTACCAGGAAATGGATACAGTGTGCACTGCTTGTGGAGAGGAGGACGAGACGGCTGAGCACTTGATAATCTACTGTAAAGGGCTTCACCCTATGCCTACCGAAGACAACATGGATTTAATAAAGTCATTGGGTTTTAGAGACAGTGAAGGGAGAGCGGATTTCAAGACTGTAGAGATTACAAAGCAAAGATTAAGTGAATGGTGGCAGAAAGCGAGAGAAAACTAGGTATGTTCTTATTAACTGATGGCAAGGGGTTTTATTCGCGACTCCAGCGACCTATAGGGGGCGCCACCACCAAACAAACATGGCGGCTGAGTCCAGGTCGCGTCGGCTCGGCCGGGCCGCCTGAATGGGTGGCGCAATCAATTTAACAATTATTCTTTTGTTGAATGCCCAATTTTATGGGTATTTGAACTGAGACAGTTAAGTTTAGCCGGTGCGCATAAACTTGCCGAGCATAGTTTTGTTTTGCCGGTGTTTTTTGTTCTTTTCATGTCAAACTTTCGCTGCGGAGACTTCGATCAAAACCGAAACTATGGGCTCCGGAGAAACGGTAATAGACTCAAATTAGTTTTGATCATCTAAGGAAAGCGGCGAGGGCTACAAAATTGTTCCACCAAGAGTAATGTTTAGCTAACTCGCATGCCTCGATCATGCGACTTACCTGTCCGCGAAATTGAGCTTTTGTGCCTGTCCGCGTTTCAAGAAACAGCTGCAGTCGTGTGCTCGGTCAAGAACACAGGCTGCAGGAAAATTAAGAAAATTAAGCAAGCGCTTCTTGAGCCAAGGAGCATGTCAACTCGCTGGCACTTCACTAAGCAGCTGATACTCGTATTTCAATTAAGGTTTTAGTAGCAATCAAGAAGCCATTTTGATGAATATGCGGTTATGTACTATATTACGTACTATGGTCCCACTAAAGCGATATTAGTATGTTCTTCGGGTTGAAATATGAACTTAGTTGACTAACTATTAGGGTGAACTGCTGAATAAAAGTATATTTGAGAGACAGAGAGATACTACTTAAACTTAGCCAAATGGTTCTAGCCGGTAGAACGGAGACGAAAGCGGACAAGCTGAGGAAAGTCTTCATCGGAGATTCACTCAGACCTCTCTGCATTGAACTTGACTTCGAATTTTAAACAAATAAAATTATTATTATTTTTTTTTTGTGGCCGGTCAATTTGAGCAATGTAGACGTATATTGCTGCTGGATTCGACAGGGGTTATAAGTATTCGAGGCGCGATAGATCCTAATGACGTGACAGCTTCTATCTTTGCGAGACGCGTCCCCCACCTTTTGAAAGCAGATAATTTCCCTGATTAATCATATGCAGCGAGCAGGTTTCCTGAATCAAGTAATTGCGAAATTAGCCCAACTCCTTCAATGTGGTCTTTTTCGGCGAAAAGCCGCCAAGATGAATAGCCAACACACCGGCCGGCGTTAGTGGCTCAAATTAACCTGAAGCTAATCGAGCACAACCAAACTCAAGGAAAGCAGCTATCGAACCTTCCCATTCACTTGACTGCAACATTGGTGTCCCCTCCAGTGAAACACTTCGTCTGTCGAGCTCAGTCTACTGTTCTACATCCTTATAAAGAAACTGCTTCTCAGTTACCAAGCAGTCGTCACTTTGATTGCGATTAGAGACAGACGACAAATCAAAACGTTTTTCCGTGATTCCTCCCCATCCAAAAAATTGAAAGCACGCGATCGTGTGTTGTGGAATAAACGGGCTTTCAAACACGTGATGGAAAGAAACAATCTACTGAGGCTTCACCACACTAATGAACACTCAGGCAAACTTAAGAAATTTTCGGACCTTCGTCAAACTACATTGCTCGCCGCCGCGCCGCCAGCACGCGTCCGCGAAAGCCGTCAGAGACGCGGCGGGGCGCGGAGCGACCTGGACCGGCTGGTTCCCGGTTTTCCCGCTTGGCGGCGTCCGTTTTGCTGGAGTCGCGAATAGCCCCACTTTCTTTGCAGTGCGGAGTGAATATAGATTTCACATTTAAATATTCTAAGCTTAAATGGTAAAGAAAAATGGCTAGGTGGCATACGCTACCGCCCGATCCAAAGGGCTCAGCCAAATTCATCCATCCATCCAAACAAACCGGAGCGAAGCGGAGCGAAGCGGAGCGAAGCAGAGCGGGTGTTCTGCGAACCAGAACATACAGAGTGAAGTACCAGGAACTGGATACAGTGTGCACTGCTTGTGGAGAGGAGGACGAGACGGCTGAGCACTTGATACTCTACTGTAAAGGGCTTCACCCTACGCCTACCGAAGACAACATGGATTTAATAAAGTCATTGGGTTTTAGAGACAGTGAAGGGAGAGCGGATTTCAAGACTGTAGAGATTACAAAGCAAAGATTAAGTGAATGGTGGCAGAAAGCGAGAGAAAACTAGGTATGTTCTTATTAACTGATGGCAAGGGGTTTTATAGCCCCACTTTCTTTGCAGTGCGGAGTGAATATAGATTTCACATGTAAATATTCTAAGCTTAAATGGTAAAACAAAATGGCTAGGTGGCGTAAGCTACCGCCCAATCCAAAGGGCTCAGCCGGATTCACCCATCCATCCAAACATGATTTGGTGTATATGCTAACGCAAACAGCCACCAGAAGCGGGAGGGGGACGGGAGCAGAGCCGGACGGGGATGGCCGAACCCGGATGAGACTTTCATCCTTTCGCCGTGTTGATCTCTCTACGCAAGCACGTGCTCACGTGGTCGCGAGCGGGTGAGTTCTCGCTGCTTACTGACTGCTCTATACTTCGTCTCACCTTAGCATGGACTATTGTTATCCGCGCATGCTAAGAGCGCGAGCTAGTTGCTTTGGATGAAGTCTCGGCGGCTGCCCGAGCGCTCGCGCAGCGAGTGCTCCTGTCAAGGCAATCGAAGCTAGCCGCTCGCGCTTGCACAACCTTCGCCGTTAGTCCATGCTAAGGTGAGACGAAGTATAGAGGGAGAGCTTCACCGGAACCCCGCGCGTCCCCCATTAACGTCACAGCGCACGTGACTCGGAACATGGTGAAGGAGTTGAGAGGTGCCGAAAACCTCTTTGCCCATTTTTAAAACAAAAACTAGGACATGCAGGCAAAAGCGGTTTTTTGTTCTTTACTTCAGAAAGGTCGAGACAGCAACTTCCAAGTTATTTAAGCAAAGCACTGAAATTGTTGCACAGCTCCTCTAACGTCATGGACGGATGTGACGTCACAGACGAAAATAATTGCCATGTCACCAATTACAAGGCATAAAAAAACAAATGCCCTTAGGAACTGAAGAAAGCGGAAGGGGCAGTCGCCCCCCCCCCCCCCTTTTTTTTTTCTTTCCCCCCTTTTAAATCTGCCAGATGCCACACGCTCCGAGCGGGTCTCAACCAGTCAAGAACGACACGAGATGATGCGAATCGTTTCTTTAATTTCCGTAAAACATTGTATAAATCTATATACATGAGAGAAAGTAAAGAGAGGCACTGGTGACTTTCATACGAGGGTTAGTCGTACAATAAAACTTATTTACAGCTGGATAACAGGAATCGGTGCCTGACATTTTCCCGGTTACTGTAAGTACGGTCCCCCACTAATATCAGCCTATCGCGTCTAACTACACATGGCTTCTACAGACCGCAAAATGGTCCCTCGTTGAATGTGGATGAAAAGATTGACAAGACAGGCCTAACTCTAACGAGCTTTGCATTGCGCGGCAAAGTATTTTACAGCGATGAGGATACATGATATGCCTGTTTTAAATTGCACGAAAATGCAAGCGAACGTTGACTTACGTCCCTTCGTGCATAAAAAAATTTCAAATCAACACTTCTAGAGACATAAAATGACACAGAGTTCATATTTCGTTATGGATAACTATTTTGTCAGTCAGACATCGCATTGGAGTGACAAGCTCACGTAAGTGCACCACCGTCGAAAGACACTTACCAGACAACGGCGAGGGCTCGAAACCTAAAAATTCTTGCAAATATAGAATGAACATAGAATAATGCGCGACAAACATGCCTGTTCTTAGCCTAGATACAGGACCGGGTAACTTTTCAATGTTCCGTTTGCTGAATATACATCAAACGATAGTTCCAACTGACTCCAGTTTCAAAGAAAAGTAAAGCACATTAAAGCTTGTCACACATTCGTTGACGTCGGCACAAACTGTACAAAAAAGATTGTCTACTCGCACGTTCAGAAACCAAACAAAACAAAGATGTTGGAACGTCATTCACTTTGGTTGAACATTCATTCCCGTTGAACGACGCACTCCTAATCCACATGGGTCCAAGTTGAACGATCGTCAACAGATGGTCGTCACAACACCACAAGGGCCAGAGTCACAGCCCCCATTTACACTGGAGCACGACCGAAGACAGACACCCTCATCAGCGCACAACTTCGGTCAGTACCACACACTCTTCGCCTCCGAGTTACCCTAAGCAGAGCAGGTCGACAAGAAGTGATGCCGTCACTCGATGTCCCTGTCTGGTCCCAGCGTGGCCAACGAGTAGAATCGCTCCTTGTCCGCACTGCCAACATTGGTGACATGCTGGAAGCAGCAGGGCAACGAGATGTCGCTCTTCCTCGGCAAGGGCTTCGGCTTCGAGGGTCTGTTCTTTTTCTTCATACTCTTGGTGCATCCCTTGGGCATGGACAGACTGATGTTGAGGGGATCCGATATGAGCTCTTCGACCCGGTCCCAAAACTCCTGGGCAAAGTCCGGAACGTCGAAGCTGAGGCCCGCCATCCGGCGATGGTCCGACGACAGGTGCATCGTATGGAAGGTAACGGCGGGCTTCCTGTAGCTGCTCAGGTTGTCGATGACATCCTTCCAGAGAGCGAAACCGGTGCCCCTCTCGGCAAGGACGATGTGCACCATCCTTCTTGTCCTGGCCCGCGTCTCCCCTTTGTCCAGGATGAGAACGGGAACTCCTGTCCTCGCCAGTTCCCAGCGTCCTGGAGTGCCGTCCTGGCAGACTTCAGTGAAGTACAGGTTGGCGAGACAGTGGCAGGCGTACACGTACGTCTTGTGGCTCTTGAAGCATGATTCGACTTGGTCCACTTCGAGCTCACCCAGACGGCCGTTTTCATCCGGGTCCTTGCTCAGGGTTCCCACGGTGTCGTACTTGGTGGTGATCTTCTCGATGCCCATCTTCTGCGGGGCCTTCTTCACGATGTCCGAGGAGCAGTAGATGATGGCATCGCTCGAAGCCATGCTCCTGGGAGACTGTCTCGACTGATTTCAGAGTCGCAGTCGGTCATTCGGGTCGGGCAACCCTCATGTCCGATGGAGTTTCTGCACGAATAAAAATAAGAGATCAGTTTGGCTTCATATACTAAAATCATCGTGGAAACGGAGCGTGCCGTTAAAGCTACGGTGTTAGAGGAGAATTACATAAACGAGGAGGAGAGAAGAGATGTGTCGTCTTGTCCTCGTCATATATGTAATTCTCCTCTAACACCATATAATAAAAGTTGACTGAGACATAAGAAATGATACCCAAAGTGGAAGGTTTTGACCTTTTATAAAATAAGTGTGTTGGTTTAGACAGCGGAAAGTTAATCAACCCAAATGGCCGTCTGGCGCTTCCGATACAGCTAGAACTTTGGCTTGTGTACTGCCAGCCTGGGGCCTCTGACGCGCTCCACGCAGTAGTGATACACGAGCATTTTATCAGACGCGAGATACGCACAGAAGCGAGGGCGTACTTTAGACCAATCAAGTGTTTCAGTGATACTAACTACCAAACCTACACGTGGCGTGAACCCATGTGGCTTTTCGACAAAATCCTGGACGCCGGCTGATAAAATTCACATTTTTAAATGTCCGTGCTTTTAACTACGTCTCGACTTGTCCGTAAAACTTCACGTCTTCAAAATTATTTTTAACAAACCAAAAAATTGTTTCGAATCACACACAAACACACACACACACACACACACACACAAAAAAAAAAAAAAAAAAAAAAGATAAATAAAACAACGAGACCACTTATGGCACCCTCTCCAACGCGGGAGGAGGCACTAGCAAAGAATTTCAAGGGCGGAAATACTCATAAAAACAGCAACAACCTAAAAAACGAGAGTGTATCCCAACTTCGTTACGCCTTGGGACCACCGGAATCTTAAGAGGGGCCGCGGCGCCGGAGCCACCGCCACCGCCTAGGATCTCTGGAGGGAGAGATAAGTAGCCCACACTTCCAATACTAAACAGACTAAAAAGACGGGGGAAAGAACAAGTAACAAATGAAGCAAAGTAGCGGGGTTGAGCCTATCCAGGTGTGTATATAACTGCTTGAGTGGCTTCGTAGGGAGTAAGCTCCGTTTACTCTTAAGTTGACAGTGCGACGAGAGCCTACGCGCCCGTCGGACCACCCAACCACCTTCATTTGAGCAGAAAAACTCCGCTCTCTGCGCCTGGCTATGGGCACGGACCACGATCACGTGGCGAAAGATAGACCTATGATTGGTTCAAAAAGCACGTAGCTTCCGCCACACTGTCAGTTAAGAACGGAGTACAGTAAAGTCAAAGTCCGAAAACGCCCGCCACCCAGCCCGTGGAAGAAGGAATGTTTTCCGCCGCTTCTGGTGGCGAGGAATTTCGGGGGGATGTCGTTATTTCGGCGCCCCCTCCCAGCTTCCCCCCCCCCCCCCCTCGCATAAAAAGAAACTAAATAAAAACAAAAACACGCCGGGACCATGAAATGACGCGGTGCTTCAAAGGAGATCAAGCGCTCGGAATCTTTGGGAGGTTGTTTCGCGTACAGGGCCTTTGTTGGCAGAAGAATGTTGGGGCGGAGCGGGAATTTTATTTCAAGTTTTGTTTTTCATTATTGCTACTCTTTTTATAGGGATATTTTACTTTACGTTCGACGGTTTTCGGTTTTTGGGGATCGGGGTCGGGTGACAGGCAAGGTTACGCAATGTGTCTCCTTCTGGTGAAATTGTTACAACCTAATATTTGTATCTTGAGACTTCACAACAACGAAAATAAAGGACACTATAATTGACCGTGAAATATAAATTTTAACTACTTATGCAGAAGTCAACAATATTCTCCAAACAGCGAAGATCTTATTTACAATTGTAATTGATAATACTGCTCAAAGCCGGATACTACAGCTTCGCAGTATACGATAATTGCAAAATATTGTAGATAGCTATTTATTGGTAGGATAAAAGTTGATCAACAGCCATTTCATACATATTGAACGTCATGACAAGGTCGAGCTGAGATATATTTCACTAAGGCATTTAGAAAAAAAAAAAGTGTTTGCCGAAACTTAATTGAATGTAAAGCACAGGTGTTGCAGATACGCGGTTCATTTCTTTCTGGTTATACTAGCTCCCTAAACGCAAGACCCCATAAACGGGCTAAAACGATTGGTTACTTCTCTAAAACCTAAAAAAAAAGAATTTTTTTTAACTCGATTTCGTGACCGCAAAGATGGCGTCGGCGCTCATGCATGCACCCTCCCCCTCCCCCTTCTCCCCACCCCCGTCTCTTCCATCATCGTTTAACGTTCAAACCCAAATATTCTAGAGATAACCGTTACCCCCTTCAACTTATAAGAGATGGCACGCAAGCCACACTCGGGCTCCTACATTCCGTACACATAGTATATACACGCAGGCTGCATAAAGTCACAGGCACGGTTGGGCACCCCTGTGTCTGTGTACACCCGAACAGTGTGATATTAAAAGAAATATTTCTGGCGCTCACGAAGCGAAGCGAAGCACCGAGCACAAAACGCTGCGGCTCCAACCGGAAGACGACATAAATTGATGTGACACTAAACGGGGTTGGCAGTGCGATAACACACTTTTCTATTAAGTGTCGCAAGGATCCAAGAGCGTGAGCCGTCACCCCCGATCACGCGAGCGGCCGGGGAGAGGTCATGAAAGGTGTCAAGCGGGTCCCTCAAATCCGAAACTCACGACATCTTTCACAGAGCGTCTGGGTTTTTTAGGTTGTTTTTTTTTTACCTGCCTTTTTTTTTTTTTTTTTCTGCAGAGAAGCTTTTGGCATACAAAAAGAAAAGAACCGCAAAGGCGTCACCGTTATAAGAGCTCCGTTGCACGACCTCGAGTATTACGAAAACTATACGCAGCCCTAGAAAATGTTTGAAGATAAAACAAAGAAAAACGAGAAACCTGCTTTCGCATGTGGAGTGACCCTACGAAAGTTGAAACCGGCACGGGATGAAGATAAGGATATGTGTAAGGCACTTCCAAAGTAGGGTTTTTAAACTGGAAATCTATATGGCGGTCACATTTCGCCAAATAAGGACGCCCAGATAGATACTGAAATATGATCAAATTTCAGCTGTGTACTTATTAACACAATTCTTAAAAGATAATGCCAATATTAGCCCGAAATACTCACAAGATTCCCCGTGCGTCCTCAAGAAGACTATGCTTGCCGAAAATAAATTACCGCTCTGGTGCTAAAGCATGTCGGAGGAATTGACAGTAAATTTAACTTGTTTACGCACACTATCATAAAAAATGTTTTATCTTCCCTGAAAAACTTGCTTATACGTTCGTTCAAATTAAGTGTGCCAAATTACCTGGTATAAGAAAGACTAATATATTTGCATTCATCAGGCCACGATAATATCGTTATTGAAATTTCGGTACCGTTGAAACAAAAGCAGTTTTACAAATATATATTTGTTTTCTTTAAAAATAGACTTTTTTTTCATTTGAGCAGGTTGCAACTTTTTTTTTTTATTTGAGCAGGTTGCAACTTTTTTTTTTTCAGCATTCCACTATAGTAGCGCAAGTTCTCTGTTGCCAATAATATCGTTTTCACTTTATTTTCGTCGAACCTGGTATTGCACCGGCTAAATTGCTTTCTTACAGCTGAGCCACCAAACGAGCAATGGGGCTTACTAAGCTCACGCCGTCTAAACGAATACAGAACACGATTACTTTCTCGCGTACTATCTTGTATAATGCTTACTGTTGGAGCATTCAGAGAGCAGCGCAAATAAGTAAGACGAGTTGTCAAATTACTCGCCTTACGCACGAACTGGTTTTGTATATGCTTGGTCAGATATGAGTGACATCTGTTGACATTCCTATTCTCGAGTTTAAAAACATCTAAAAACCTAACTCGAAATTACTCAGATGAGCCGTCTAAACGATTCCGTTCATGACCGAACTCGAGTAGTATGTGCTTGATCACACGAGTTACGTCTCCTCACCAATAGTGGATCCTCACGAGATCACGAACGGCGCAAGCACGGGAGCATGCGGGATGTTCGTTCTTGAAAGCGGAGAAGGCAGGCGTCTATTCAACGAGGCAAAGACCGGGAGATGGTTTTAAAGCAGGATACACGTCCTCATTTGGGCGAGCGGACGAGGCGATGACTTATGAAGCAGAACAGAACGTTGGCAAGATCAATAAAATAAACAAAATCACAAGGCCGCACGATAAATCGCCGTCGCGCAAACGCGAGCAATGGTTAACGTTGTTGCCGTTCACACCATGCAGGCAAACAATCAACCAAAGCTGTCCACCAATAAACACGCACAGCATTTTGTTTTGAGAGTTTGTTAATACAGCCTTGTCTGCTGCTTGTTTGTTTCACGAGGCATCAGTGCCACCGGGTTCTGTCGGGTGCTTATTTTGTTAATTAACAGTTACTCTATATGTATATATAAAGAAAGAAATAGAGATCAAACCAGACAACGCACAAAAATAAAATATATATGTTAGAACAATTGCTGTTATGGTGAGAGCCAGGGTTTTGTTTAAACGTCTTTGAACTATGCTAAGGATGCTGTCTGTCAGTGCGTCAATAAATCTTGATAATGAAAACCATTCCGCCTTTTCGCGCCATAAAGATTTGGCCGTTCGATGGGGAATAAAACATGGAGTTTCAGTGCTCTATGCTAAAAGAGGCTTCGAAATTAGCATAAATTCGTCCCCTTCAAAGTTGACTCGGTAAATATGAAATTTGTCCTCATACGATTAGTCTTACGTAGATATTTTTCGTGCTGTTTAGTGGTTGTAAATCAAGCCTACAAAGCATGTCAATGGACAAAAATTTAAATATATTTCGCTACATCGCTTTAAAGATGGGTCGCGTACATATTTAGATAGTTGGAAGTTAGGTAGCCATAAAATAAGGTACGAGAAACGTTTTGATCAACGCCTTCCGTACGACTGCTAACGTCGAATTCGATTCACTTGTACATCCGCTACGGTAAAGTTACCTTATTTATTTATTTTCGTAGAGACGCCAAAACAAACTTACGTCGTCTCGGCAAAAACTCACCGCCTGTTAT